CAAAATGAAACAAAATAACAGAAGGCAAACTGTAAACTTCACAGTAATGGGGAAATTAAATAGCACACTCCTGAACAATTATGAGGTCAAAGAGTAAACTAAAAAGGAAATTAGAAATTACTTTGAGGAAAGTGAAAACAAAACTACAACATATCTAAACTTACACATTAGAAGTGTAATTCATCGCAGTAAGTGCATACATCAAAAAAGAAGGGAGATTTCAAATAACCTAAAATTTACACCTCAAGGAGCTAGGAAAAGAAAAAACAAGCCCAAAGTTAGGAGAAGGAAGGAAATTACAAAGAGCAGAAAAAACAAAATAGAAATACTTTAAAAATAGAAAAAATTGACAACTTTTTTTGAAGAGATAAAACACAATTGACAAACCCTTAGCCAAACTAAGAAAAAAGGGGTAAACTCAAATAAAATCAGAATGAAGAGATATTACAACTGTGGACACAGAAATAAAAAGAATTATGATAGACAACTATGAACAATATACACCAACAAACTTGACAACCTAGAAGAAATGCTTAAGTTCCTAGAAACACAGAACCTACCAAAACTAAGTCATGAAGAAAAATAAAGTCTAAGCAGACCCATAACTACTATGGACATTGGACCTGTAATAAAAAAAAAAAATCTCCCAACAAAGAAGAGTCCAGGACTAGATGGTTTCACCAGTGAATTCTACCAAATACTTAAAGAGGAATTAAGGCCAATCCTTCTCAAACTCTTCCCCAAAATTGATAAGGAGGGAATCTTTCCAATTCATTTAATGAGGCTAGTATTATTTTGATAACAAAGCTGGACAAAGAAAAAGAAAACTATAGGCCAGTATCTCTGATAAATACAAAACAAAAATCCTAAAAAAAAAAAAAAAAAACTAGTTGCAAATTAAATTCAAACAGCACATTGAAAGGATTATACACCATGATCAAGTGAGATTTATCCCTGGGGTGCAAACATGATTTAATATACAAAAATCAATTAATGTAATATATTACATCCCAAGAATAAACGATAAAAATCACAATTATCTCTATAGAGGCAGAAAAAGTATTTGCTCAAATTCAACATCAATTCTTGATTATGATTCTTAACAAACTAGGAATAGAAGGAAAATACCTCAACAAAATAAAGGCCATATACTAAAAGCACAAAAATAACATTTTTGAAAAATCGAAAATTTTTCTTCTAAAAATCAGGAGGTTGGGAGCCTGGGTGGCTCAGTGGGTTAAGCCACTGCCTTCGGCTCAGGTCATGATCTCAGGGTCCTGGGATCGAGTCCCGCATCGGGCTCTCTGCTCAGCAGGGAGCCTGCTTCCCGCGCTCTCTCTCTCTCTCTCTCTCTGCCTGCCTCTCCGTCTACTTGTGATCTCTCTCTGTCAAATAAATAAATAAAATCTTAAAAAAAAAAGTCAGGAGGAACAAGGCAAGGATGCCCACCCTCCCCACTTCTGTTTAACACAGTACTCGGGGTGTTAGCTAAAGCAATTAGGCAAGACATAAAAGTCATCTAAATTGGAAAGAAAGTAAAACAATCTGTTTGCAGATGACATCTTATATACAGAAAGCCACAAGAATCCATTTCTTTAAAAAACCTACTGTAACTGATAAAACTAATAAGTGAATTCAGTAAAGTTGCCAGATACAAAGTTTGTTTCACAAGTTCCTATTCAAGAGCAGTGTAGGAAGACTCTAAAATCACCTCCTCCATAAAACACACCAAGTTACACCTATTAAAAGGACAATTTCTCCTGAAGAACTGGAGGCTGACTGAACAACTACTGAAAAACCAAAGTGGAGTCAGAACAGCAAGAGAATAGCAAGGAAGATAGACACAGTAAGGAGGACAGAGACACTGCCAACACTGTGAAAGGCAGTGGGGAAGGACAGTACTGAGGCACCAGGAACAAATCCCACTGCCCTTGGGCACAGAAAGAAAGCCATGATTTAAAGAGCAACTGGGGACCCAGGCAAGATGGTGGAGGAGTAGGGGACCCTATTTCAAACAGTCCCCTGAATTAAGCCAGATATCTGCCAGACCACTCTGAATGCCCACGAAATCAGCCTGAAATGTAAGCTATTCCAGGATCTATACCAAGAGAACATCTCCGGTAGCCCATTTTGGGGTATGAAGCGGGGAGCTGCAATTCTGTAGGCAGGTATCAGAAGATAAACAGAAGGGTGGGGGGGAGCTGCCACAAAGCTGGTGCCAGGAAGGTGAAATAACACAGAAGCACAAAAGTGTCCCGCTGTGGGGGCCTGGGCACAGACTCACAGACCGATAGGCAGCCACTGGAAAAGGACTTTAGGGTAGCCCCCTGGCTGAAACCTGGAGCTGCGGGGATGTGCATGCGAACTGGGAGCAGGTGGTGGTTTTAGAGACACAAAGGGCAGAGACATGCCTGGACATGGAAGTGAGGGCTTGGGAGTACTGCTGTGGGGAGCACAACCCAGGCTGCTGCGGTTTTTTTCAGCAGCACAGACAAAAGTGGAGTCAGTGTGACCTGGAGGGCTTTCTGGAGAACAGGGTGTGATCTCACTGTTCTGAGACAGAAGTTTGGACACTTCTGCTCTGACTCTTGGAAGAGACACGGAAATTCACCAGGGAAAGATGCCAGAGAGAGTAAAAGCCCTCCCAAACAGGTTTTCACCAGGCCCATCCCCCACTACTAGGGGAAAGGCAATTCTGCCCATACAGGGTTGCCTGAATAACAGCCCAGCAGACCCCTTCCCCCAGAAGATAGGCTGAAAGAACAAGAGGCCAAGAACCCTGAAGTCCCTATAAAACAGCTGCATTTTCTTGGATTGTGGCCAATAGTTTGAACTCTGTATATTCCCTCAACCACCTCTCACCAGAATGACTAGGAGGAGGAACCCCCAACAGAGGAAAAATTAAGAGACTGACCTCCGCCCTGAACTAATGGATATGGACATAAGCAAGAGGTTGGAAATAGACTTCAGGGTAACTGTTATGCAGCAATAGCTAGGGTAGAGAAAACCATTAGTGACAACACAGATTCTCTAAGGGCAGAAATGAGAGCTGATCTGGCAGAATTTAAAAATGCTATCAGTGATGGGACGCCTGGGTGGCTCAGTTGGTTAAGCAGCTGCCTTCGGCTCAGGTCATGATCCCAGCGTCCTGGGATCGAGTCCCACATCGGGCTCCTTGCTCGGCAGGGAGCCTGCTTCTCCCTCTGCCTCTGCCTGCCATTCTGTCTGCCTGTGCTCGCTCTCTCTCCCTCTCTCTCTCTGGCAAATAAATAAATAAAATCTTTAAAAAAAAAAAATGCTATCAGTGAGATCCAATCTAATCTAGATACTCTAACAGCTAGGGTAAATGAGGCAAAGAATGAATTAGTGATCTAGAAGACAAACTGATAGAAAAGAAGAATCAGGAGGAGGCCTGTAACAAACAGCTTAGAATCCATGAAAACAGAATTAGAGAAATAAATGACACCAATATTAGAATTATTGGGATCCCTGAGGGGGTGGAGAGAGAGAGAGAGAGAGAGAGAGAGAGAGGACTAGAAGATATAGCTGAGCAAATCCTAGGTGAGAATTTTCCTAACCTGGGGAATGAAACCAGTGCTCATGTCCTAAAGACAGAGAGGACACCCCCCAAGATCAACGAGGGTAGAGCAACACCCTGGCATGTGATAGTGAAACTCTCGAATGTTAAATCCAGAGAAAATATCTTAAGGGCAGCTAGAGGGAAGAGATCACTTATGTAGAGAGGGAGGAATATCCAAATAACGTCAGACTTGCCCACAGAAACCTGGCAGGCCAGAAAGGGCTGGCAAGACATACTCAAGGCACTAAATGAGAAGAACATGCAGCCAAGAATACTTTATCTGGCAAGGCTGCCATTTAGAATGGACAGAGAGATAAAGAGTTTCCAAGACTGGCAAAGACTGAAAGAATGTGTGGCCCCTGAACTGGCCCTGCAGGAAATATTAAGGGGGGACTGGTTGCTCTATAAAAGAAAAACCCCAAGAGTGGTATAGAACAGAAATTTACAGAGACAATCTATAGAAACAAGGACCTCACAGGCAACATGATGACAATAAAAACATATCTTTCAATAATCACTCCCAAAGTGAATGACCTAAATGCTCCCATAAAATGGCACAAGGTTGCAGACTGGATAAAAGACAGGACCTAACAATATGCTGTCTACAGAGACTCATTTTGAACCTAAAGATATATCCAGACTGAAAGTGAAGGGATGGAGAACCATCTTTCATGCCAACAGACCTCAAAAGAAAACTGGGGTAGTGATTCTCATATCAGACAAACTAGATTTTCAGCCAAAGGCTGTAGTCAGAGATACAGAAGGACACTACATCATTCTTAAAGAGCCATCCAACAAGAAGATCTAACAGTTGTAAATATCTATGCCCCTAACATGGGAGGGGTATACATTAGGCAACTGTTAACCAAAACAAAGAGACATATTGATAAGAATATGTTAATTGTAGGGGATCTTAACATGCCACTCTCAGCAACAGACATATCATCTAAGCAGAAAATCAACAAAGAAACAAGAGCTTTGAATGACACACTTTACCAGATGGACCTCATAGACATATACAGAACATTCTACCTTAAAACAATAAAATACCCATTCTTCTTGAGCACACATGGAATTTTCTCTAGAATAGACCACATATGGGGTCACAAAACAGGTCTCAACTGATCACAAAAGACAGATTGTTCCTTGCATATTCTCAGACCACAATGTTTTGAAACTGGAACTCAATCACAAGAACAAGTTTGGAAGAAACTCAAACACTTGGAAGCTAAAGACCATCCTGCTCAAGAATGTTTGGGTCAATCAGGAAATCAAAGAAGAACTTAAACAATTTATGGAAACCAATAAGAACAAAAACAAAATGGTCCAAAACCTATGGGATACAACAAAGGCAGTCGTAAGGGGGAAATACATAGCCATCCAAACCTCACTCAAAAAAATAGAAAAATCCTGACTACACAAACTCTTTATACCTTAAAGAACTGGAGAATCAACAACAAATTAAGCCTACCCCACACACCAGAAGGGAAATAGTTACGATTATAGCAGAGATCAATTGATTAGAAACCAGAGATATAGTAGAGCACATCAATGAAACTAGAAGCTGATTCTTTGAATTAATAAGATCAATAAACCACTGGCCAGACTAATCCAAAAGAAAAGAGAAGGACCCAAATTAATATAGGTATGACTGAAAGGGGGGAGAGATCACGACTAGCCCCAAGGAAATAAAAACAATCAGAAATTACTATCAATATCTATATGCCAAGAAGTTAAGCAACCTAGAAGAAATGGATGGTAAACTTCCAAGACTGAACCAGGGAGAAATTGACAACCTGAATAGAGCAATAACTAGTAAAGAGATTGAGAAGTGGTAAAAAAAAAAATAAATAAAATAAAAAAAATAAAAAAAAACACCTCCCAAAAAACCCAAGATCTAGGACCTGATGGATTCCCTGGGGAATTCTACCAAATATTCAAAGAGGAGAAAATAACTATTCTCCTGAAGCTGTTTCAAAAAATAGAAACAGAAAGAAAACTTCCAGACTCTTTCCATGAGGCATCACTTTGATCCCCAAACCAGGCAAAGACCCCATCAAAAAGGAGAATTTCAGACCAATATCGCTGATGAATATGGATGCCAAGATTCTCAAAAAGATCCTAGCTAACAAGATCCAACAGTACATTAAAAAGATTGTCCACCACAACCAGGTGGGATTTATCCCTGGGATGCAAGGGTGGTTCAACATTCACAAATCAGTCAATGTGACAGAATAAATTAATAAGAGAAGAGAGAAGAACCACATGGTCCTCTCAATTGATGCAGAAAAAGCATCTGAGTACAGCATCCTTTCCTAATTAAAACTCTTCAGAGTATAGGGATAGAGGGAACATTCCTCAACTTCATAAAATCTACCTATGAAAAACCTACAATGAATATCATTCTCAATGGGGAAAAGCTGACAGTCTTCCCTTTGAGATCAGGAACATGACAAGGATGCCCACTTCACCACTATTGTTTAACATAGTACTAGAAGTCCTAGCAACAGCAGTCATACAACAGAAAGAAATAAAAAGTATTCAAATTGGCAAAGAAGTCAAACTCTATTAGCAGATGACATGATACTTTACATGGAAAACCCAAAAGACTCCACCCCTAAATTACTAGAACTCATACAGCAATTCAGTAATGTGGCAGGATACAAAAAATCAAAGCACAGAAATCAGTTTTCTTATACACTAACAATGAAACTATAGAAAGGGAAATTAAAGAATCGATTCCATTTACAATAGCATCAAAAACCGTAAGATATCTTGGAATAAAACTAACCAAAGAAGTAAAGGATCTATACTCAAAGACTACAGAACACTCATGAAAGAAACTGAAGACACAAAAAGATGGAAAAACATGCTCATGGAACAGAAGAATAAACACTGATTAAATGTCTATGCTGCCCAGAGAAATCTATACTTTCAACACCAGCCCAATCAAAATATCATCAGCATTTTTCAAAGTGTTGGAACAAACAATCCTAAAATTTGTGTGGAACCAGAAAAGACCCCAAAATCGCCAAGGAAATGTTAAGAAAGAAAAACAAAGGTAGGGGTATCACATCGCCTGATTTCAAGCTATATTACAAAGTTGTGATCACCAAGACAGCTTGGTACTGGCACAAAAACAAACTCACAGACCAAAGGAACAGAGCAGAGAGCCCAGATATGGACCCTCAACTCTATGGCCAAATAATCTTTGACAAAGCAGGAAAAAATATCCAATGGAAAAAAGACAGTCTCTTCAATAAGTGGTGCTGGGATAATTGGACAGCTATATACAGAAGAATGAAACTCAACCATTCTATTACACCATACACAAAGATAAACTCAAAATTAATGAGAAACCTCAATGTGAGACAGGATTCCATCAAAATCCTAAAGTAGAACATAAGCAGTAACCTCTTCAACATTGACCACAGCAACTTCTTTCAAGACATGTCTCCAAAGGCAAAGGAAACAAAAGCAAAAATGAACTTGTGGGACTTCATCAAGATAAAAATCTTCTGCACAGCAAAAGGAAACAGTCAATAAAACAAAGAGGCAACCCACGGAATGGGAGAAGATATTTGCAAATGATACTACAGACAAAGGGCTGATATCCAAGATCTATAAAGAACTTCTCAAACTCAACACTCAAAAAGCAAATAAGTCAAAAAAATGGGCAGAAGACATGAGCAGACACTTCGCCAAAGAAGACATACAAATGGCTAACAGACACATGAAAAAATGTTCATCATCATTAGCCTTCAGGGAAATTCAAATCAAAACCATAATGAGATACCACCTTACACCAGTTAGAATGGCAAAATTTAACAAGGCAAGAAACAACAAATGTTGGAGAGGATGTGGAGAAAGGGGAACCCTCTTACACTGTTGGTAGGAATGCAAATTGGTACAGCCACTTTACAAAAGAGTGTGGAGGCTCCTCAAAAAAATTAAAAATAGAGCTACCCTATGATCTTGCAATTGCACTACTGGGTATTTACCCCAAAGATACAGATGTAGCGAAAAGAAGGACCATATGCACCCCAATGTTCATGGCAGCAATGCCCACAATAGCCAGACTATGGAAGGAGATGAGGAGCCCTTCAACAGACGAATAGATAAAGAAGATGTGGTCCATATGTACAATGGAATATTATGCCTTCATCAGAAAGGATAAATACCCAACTTTTGCATGAATATGGGTGGGACAGGAGGAGATTATGCTGAGTGAAATAAGTCAAGCAACGGAAGTCAATTATCATATGGTTTCACTTACTTGTGGAACATAGGGAATAGCATGGAGGACATTAGGAGAAGGAAGGGAAAAATGAAGTGGGTTAAGTCAGAGGGGTAGATGAACCATGAGAGACTGTGGACTCCCAGAAACAAACTGAGGGTTTTAGAGGGGAGGGCCGGGGGTGGGGGATGGGTTGGCCCAGTGATGGGTATTAAGGAGGGCACATATTGCATGGAGCCCTGGGTGTTATACATAAACAATTAACCCTGGAACACTACCCTGGAACACTACATTAAAAACTAATTACGTGCTGTATGGTAACTAACATAATAAAAAATAATAAAAACAATAAAATAGTGAAAAAAATAAATAAAAGAGCAACTGGTTAAAAGAGCAACTCCTTTATAGTAAATAACACCAGAAACTCTGCCAAATGGCAGAGGAGCTACAGGAATGCTCTCCAGGTCAGAGGAACTGACGAATGACATAGTTTATATTCCCACCCCAACATAAAAGCCCAGACCAGAGCAAAGTCTGGACACCATAAAGGGCATGTCTGGTTGTCTCAGTGAGCTCATTATCTCAGAGAGGCTAGAGTCCACAAGCCCACACCAGATCCTCACACTGAGCCATAGGAGAAGGGCTGGAGTTTAAAGGGGCTGATCAGCAGTAGGAATGCTCTCTCCCCCTCCATCTTAAAAGCCCAGAGCAGAGCGGGGTCTGGCTCACAGAAAACTTGCAACGTCAGTAAGCCCAGGATCCACAGCCCACAGCAGCTGCCCTTTGGTGCTGGGACACAGAAAACAAACTTCAGGTTTTTTCTGGTGTTTAATTTTTAATTTATTTTATTTTCCTTTTTAGAAATTTGTTTTGTCCTGTTTCATAATTTTAGTTTTCTCTTTTTCTTTTATTATTTTCTTTATTATTTTTTCTTTTCTTCTTTCTCTAAAATTCTGTATTATATATGCTAGTTACTCTTTTAAACCACAGCTCCAGCCAGCAAGCAAGTCACCAAGCACAGAGTCACATGAGGGCCACCATACACAAGACCACTCCAAGTTTAGAAGTAGCTGTTCCAGCTAATCCATAGAAACAAACACAGAAAGTCAAGCAAAATGTGGTGACAGAGGAATACATTCCAAAAGAAAGAAAAAGAGAAAACCTCAGAAAAGAATTAAAGGAAACAGATAACAATATGCCTGATAAAGAATTTAAAGTAATGATCATAAAGATATTCACTGGGCTCAAAAGGAAAGAGTGAAGAACTCAGACCTTCAATAAGAGAGAAAATATTAGAAAGAACCAGAAGTGAAGAACACAGTAATAGAAATAAATACACTAGAGGAAAACAACAGATTAGCAGATGCAGAAGAACTTGTGATCTGGAAGACAGGGTATTGGAAAGCATGCAAACAGAACAGCAAGAAGTAAATAAATTTTTTGAATGAGGACAGATTAAGAGATCTCTTAAACATCAGGTTAAACATTCATATTATAGGGGTAGGTCCCAGAAGAGAGGAAGGTGTAGAAAACTTATTTGAAGAAATAACTGAAAACTTCTCTAACCCAGGGAAGGAAAGAGATATTCAAGAAACACAGTTCCAGACAGGATGAATCCAAGGAGGCATATAATAATTAAAAATGTCAAATGTTAAAGATAAAGAGACTCTTAAAAGCAACAAGAAATAAAAAGTGACCTACAAGGGAAAACCTATATGGTTATCAGCTTATTTTTAAACAAAAATTTGGCAGCCAGAGAGAGTTGCATAATATATTCAAAGTGTTGAAAGGGAAAAACCTACAACCAAGAGTACTCTACCAGCAAGGTTATTATTCAGATTTGAAGGAGAGAAAGAGTTTCCCAGACAAACAAAAGATAAAGGAGTTTATCATCACTAAACCAACCTTAAAAGAAATGTTAAAGGGATTTCATTAAAGTGGAAAAGAAATGGCCATAATTAGACATAAGAAAACTCTGAACAAAAAGATGTAAAATATGACCACATATACATAAAACTTAGAGAAGGGAGTAAAAAAGGATGAGGAAAAGATTTTTTTTTCTATTTTTTGAAGGTGTCTGAATTTAAATGACCATTAAATTAATATAGAATGCAGGGCGCCTGGGTGGCTCAGTGGGTTAAAGCCTCTGCCTTCGGCTCAGGTCATGATCCCAGGGTCCTGGGATCAAGCCCTGCATCGGGCTCTCTGCTTGGCAGGGAGCCTGCTTCCTCCTCTCTCTCTGCCTGCCTCTCTGCCTACTTGTGTCTGTCAAATAAATAAATAAAATCTTTAAAAAAATTAATATAGAATGCTATTTATTTAGAATGTTATATATGAACCCCATGCTAACCACAAACCCCAAAGTCTATAATACCTACACAAAAAATAAAGAAATTCAAACAAAACAGTATACTCAATCATAAAGAGCAAGAGAAGAAAGGGAAGAACTACAAAAACAACCAGATAACATTTTTTAAATGGCAATAAGTATTATTCCATTGTATATATGGACCATATCTTCTTTATCCAATTCTTGGAACACGGAAAAAAAAATTAAAAAGGCAATAAGTACATACCTATCAATAATTACTTTGAATGTAAATGAACTAAATGCTCCAATCAAAAGACAGAGTAGCAGAATGGATTAAAAAAAAAATATATATATATATATGACCCATCTATATGCTACCTATAAGAAACTCGTGTTAGACCTAAAGATATCTACAGATTCAAAGTGAGAGGATGGAGAAACCTCTATCATGGAAATGTATGTTGAAAGAAAGCTGGAGAAGCAATAGTTATTTTAGACAAACTAGACTTTAAAACAAAGCCTGTAACAAGAGACAAAGAACACTATATTTTAATAAGGAAGACAATCCAACAAGAAGATACAACAATTGTAAATATTTATGCACCCAGTGTGGGAGCACCCAAACACCTAAAATAATTAACAAAGAAACTAATCGATAATAATACAATAGTAGGGGACTTTAACACCCCACTTACATCAATGGACAGATCATCTAAACAAAATAAACAAGGAAACAATGGGTTTGAATGACACACTGGAACAGATGGATTTAACAGATATATTCAGAACATTCCATCCTAAAACAGCAGAATGCACATTCTTTTCAAGTGTGCGTGGAACATTCTCCAGAATAGATTACATGTTAGGCCATAAAATAAGACTCAATAAATTTAAGATGAAAATCATACCATGCATTTGTTCTGACCACAACAATATAAAATTAGAAATAAATCACAAGAAAAGATGAAAAAAATACAAACACATGGAGACTAAACAGGATACTAAACAACCAATGGGGCAATAAAGCAATCAAAGAAATACACAGAGACACATGAATGTGAAAACACAATGGCCCAAAATCTTTAGTGAAAGCACTTCTAAGAAAATAAATAAATATTTTATATATGTATATAAAATATATGACAATACAGGCCTATCTCAAGAAACAAAGCTCAAACAATCGAACTTTATGCCTATAGGAACAAGAAACAATAAACAAAGCCCAAGGTGGGTGGAAGAGAGGAAGGAAAATCAGAACAGAAATAAAGAACATAGACACTAAAAAGCAAGAGACTGTGGTGTGTCTTGGCAAGTGGGGGGTGTTGTTGCTAGAAATCAATGAAACCAAGAGCTGGTTCTTTGAAAAGATAAATAAAATGGACAAACCCTAGGAGAGGGGGAAGATGGCCACAGAATAGGAGGACACTAGGCAAAGTTCATGCCATGAGTGCAAGTAGATACCTATCAAATCATCCTGAATATCCCAGAAACTGGCCTGAAGATTGACAGACAAACTCCACAGCTGAAGGGAGAGAAGAAGCCACACTGAAGAAAGTGGGAAGTACAGTGACAAGGTTTAGGGGAGAAAAGGATCCTGGCTGCTGCAGAAGACAGGAAGCTACAGTTGAGGAGAAGGGAAAGAGAGAAAGGAGCATACAGGATAATGCACAAGGAAAAGGCTTCCCCATAGCAAAATGAGAAGGCTTAATTTCCAAAGTTCTTGCAATCATCAGGGCTTAAAGCCTGGTTTTAAAGGTCAACAGGCTTGGCTGGGATAGAGCCCAAGGGCACTGAACTGCTCTTGGGGAGAAGGCAGGCCAAGAACCCATGGGGCTACAGTGTGGAAACAGTGATCTTAAGAGTGCTGGGACACACAGTGGGGAGATTATTTGCTCTTCTCAGAGTGTGTCCCTAAGAGGGAGGTTTCATTGAGGTACCTCTCCAGGAGCAAAGGAGATGGCCAATGCCATTTTCCTCCCCTAACCCCAACATAAACACAGAGCCACCTGCAGGAAGCAACGCAGCATAGCCACTGGCTGCCTACCTTGCTTACATAAGCCCTGTCTCCCTGTGCTCCAGTGGAACTACCTCTCTCAGTCAACTTACCTTGGTCCCAGCATGGCAGACCCCTCCCCAGAAGGCCAGCACAAACCCCTGCCCACACCATGTCTCTCAACAGAGAGTTTTGTAGGACCTTAGTTCCAGTGGAGGTGGTGACAGGTCTCATTTCACAAGCAAACCAAAGTAGTTAAAATTCAGCACATTTAGGCCAGGGACAAAACATTGCTTATAGCAGGCAAGGAGAGCCTCTGCAGAGGACTGGCCTGAAGGATAGAGCAGCCAGAATACAACAACACAATATGCATGCAACATACACTGGAGGCACTCCCTGAAGCACCAGGCTATGGGCACTGTAAGACTTCCTCAGAAGGCCATTATTTTCAGGAACAGGAGACATAACTGTCTTTTCTAACACACAGCAGAAGACAGAGACTAAGACAAAATGAGAAGACAGAGGAACCTATCCCAAATGAAAGAACAGGATAAGGCCACTTAGAAATCTAAGTGAAACAGATATAAGTAACATATCTGATAGATAATTTAAAGTAACGATCATAAGAATACTGACTAGGCTTGAGAAAAGAATGGAAGACATCAGTAAGGCCCTTACCACAGAGATAAAAGATCTGAAAAAGGTTCAGAGATGAATAGTGCAATAAATGAGATTAGAAACATATTTGATACCCTGAATAGCAGGCTGGAAGAAGCAGAGGGATGAATAAATGCCTAGAAGATAACTGACAGAAAACAATGAAGCTAAACAAAAGAAAGAAAGAATTATATGAAACAGAAATAGACTTACTGAACTCAGTAACACTATCAAGTGCAGTAACATTTGTATTATAGGCATCCCAGAAGGAGAAGAGAGAGAAAAGGGGCCAGAAGATTTACTTGAAGAAATAATAACTGAAAATTTTCCTAAGCTGGGGAAGAAAACAGACATCCAGATTCAGGAGGTACAGAGAATTCCCATCAAAAATCAACAAAATCAGGCCCACACCAAGACATATTGTAATTAAGTGGGCAAAATATAGTGATAAAGAAAAATCTTAAAAGCAGCAAGATAAAAGAAGTCATTAGCTTACAAGGAAAAACCCATAAGACTATCAGGAGATTCTCAACAGAAACTTGGCAAGCCAGAAGAAAATGGCATGATATATTCAAAGTTTTGAATGGGAAAAATCTGCAGCCAAGAATACTCTATCTAGGAAGGTTATCACTCAGAAAAGCAGGAGAGGTAAAGAACTTCCCAAACAAACAAAAATTAAAGAAGGTTGTGAGAACTAAACCAGCCCTGCAAGAAATATTAAAGGGTACTTTCTGAATGGAAAGGAAAGACCAAAAGTGACAGTATAAAGGCAAGGAATATAAAAGCAGTAAAAATTAATATTTTGATTTTTAAAAAATCAGTCAATGAATTCATAAAAAGGATATGAAATATACAAAGAGGTGAGAAAAGAATGGGTTCAAACTTATCAACTTAATACAAACTGCTATATTCCAAAAAGGTTTATAAAAACCTATTGGTAACGATATAGCCAAAACACTAATAAACATGCAAAGAATAAAGAGAAAGAATCCAAATATATCACCAAAGAAAGTCAGTAAACCATGAAAGAGACAAAAATCAGAAAATCTCCAGAAAGAACCACAAAATAAATACAACAATAAATACATATCAGTAATTACTGTAAATGTAAATGGACTAAATGTTCCAATCAGAAGATGAAGGGATGATAAATATTTATCACGCAAATGGATGTCAAAAGATAGCCAAAGTGTTATGAACCACTAACGAATTGTTGAACACTACAACAAAAACTTAGGATGTACTATATGTTGGTTAACTGAAAGAAAAAAAAAAAAAAAGCCAGGGTGCCAATGTTTAAATTGGGTAAACTAGACTTTAAAACAAAAACCATAACAAAAAACAAAAGACACTATATGATAATAAAGGGAACAATCCAACAAGAAGATACAACAATTTATATACCCAACACAGGAACACCCAACACCTAAAACAGTTAACGACAATCATAAGGGAGCTAATCAGTAATAATATAATAATAGTAGGGGACTTTAACACCAATGGACAGATCATCTAAACAGAAAATCAGCAAGGGAAAAATGGCTTTGAATGACACACTGGAACAGATGGATTTAACAGATATATTCAGAACATTCCATCCTAAAACAGAGGAATACACATTCAAGTGTACATGAAGTATTCTCCAGAGTAAGGCTACAAACAGGACTTAAATACAAGAGGATCAAAGTCCTACTATGCACCTTTTCTCACCATCACATTATGAAACTAGAAATCAACCACAAGAAAAAAAAAGTCTGGAAAGACCAAAAATATGGAGGTTAAGTAACATGCTACTAAACAATGAATGGGTCAACCAGAAAATAAAAGCAGAAATTAAGAAGTACATGAAATGAATGAAAACGAAAAGACAATGGTCCAAAACCTTTGGGATGCAACAAAAGCAGTTCTAAAAGGGAAGTTTTTAGCAATGCAGGCCTACCTCAAGAAGAATAATATCAAATAAACAACCTGACCTTACACTTAAAGGAGCTAGAAAGAGAGCAACAAACAAAACCCCAAACCAATAGAAGGAAGGAAATAAAGATTAGAGCAGAAATAAATGATATAAAAACTTTAAAAAAAAGAAACCAATATAATATTTCTTATCTTCTGCCTATTTCTTACTAGATTATTTGTTTTTTGGGGTGTTGAGTTTGATATCTTTATAGATCTTGGATACTAGCACTTTATCTGGTATGTCATTTGCAAATATCTTCTTCCATTCTCTCAGTTGTCTTTTGGTTTTGTTAACTGTTTTCTTGGCTGTGCAAAAGCTTTTTATCTGATGAAATCCAAATAGTTCTTTTCTGCTTTTGTTTCCCTTGCCTTTGGAGATGTGTCTTGTAAGATGTTGCTGTGGCAGAAATCGAAGAGGTTGCTACCTCTGTTCTCCTCTAGTATTTTGATGGATTCCTGTCTCACATTTAGGTCTTTCATCCATTTTGAGTCTATTTTTGTGTGTGGTGTAAGGAAATGCTCCAGTTTCATTTTTCTGCATGTGGCTGTCCAATTTTCCCAACACCATTTGTTGAAGACACTTTTTTCCATTGGATATTCTTTCTTGCTTTGTTAAGGATTAACTGACTGTAGAGTTGGGAGTCCATTTCTGGGTTCTGTATTCTGTTCCATTGATCCATGTGTTTGTTTTTGTGCCCATACCACACTGTCTTGATGATTGGCATCAGAGAAATACAAATCAAAACCACAATGAGATACCACCTCATAACATTCAGAATGGTTAAAATTAACAAAACAAGAAACAATGTTGGTGACATATTGTGACATTCATTTTCCACCCACCCTGGAAAATGGTATGGAGATTCCTCAAGAAGTTAAAAATAGAGCCACCCAGTGACCCAGCAATTGCACTACAGGTATTTAAAGATACAAGTTTAGTGATCTGAAGGGACACGTGCACCCCGATGTTCACAGCTGCAATGACCACAATAGCCAAATTGTGGAAAGAGCTGAGAGGTCCAT